TACAGTAATTAGTTCAGGTATCGATAACTGTAGTTACACCACCCAGAGGCTCATTTTAGCATTCAGTTGGATGTGTACTTTTCAACCATGTACTACTAAACTATGTCTTCCTAAGGCCATGCTGCTAACAGTATATAAGCCAGCTATTACACAACTACGTTTCTGTCTTTCCAGATACTACAGTCACACCTTCAACAGCTAAGATAACATGCTCAGAATGACACTCACTGCGAGCATGACAGATGCTGAAAATGATGATGATGATGAGCATCTGGCTCCAAAAACATCCACTGACTTCAGGTGTCAACCTAATAATTAATTTTCAAAAGTGTATACTGGACACTTGCTGTAGGAAACAAAAGCTCACAGATAGTGAAACATTGCCCTAAGAAGTTTCAAGCTGGGCATCTACGAACTGAGGAACCCAAAACTGGCTGGTACTAGAAGATACTGGCTAAATCTGCTGCCTCTCATATCAACGAGGAAAATGCTACCTCATTTGCTTAAATTGTTTGCTTTTACTGCAGGATGACTGCGTTGCAGTGCACACACTCACCTATCACTTTTAGTGTTGTAAGAACTACAGTGTGATAAAAGACTTGTTCTTTTTTGGAGCCACCTGGTCCTCAGAGGCCTCCACTGGGTTCTAACCTTCACGAGCAGAATCTAGCAGCGGCTATCTTAGGTCTTCAACATACAGTCCTTACCAGTCAATGCGTGTGCCGAGACCAAGACAGATATAAAAAGGAAAACATGGTTTTGCGGTTCCTTCATACTGCCTTCCTGAATGGAAGGGGAATTACTATACAAGGTATTAGAGAGAAATTTAGCATTGCCTGCTGTAAACTGTTAGCCAGAACCAGCTTAAACATCCTGGGTAGCCTGAAACCACAAATAGTGATAGTTTAATGAAGAGGTCTTAAAAACACCTTTATTTTCTTTAGTGTGACATACTACATATCATCTGTGAAACACTGGCCTGCGTGCACAAGACAGACTAGAACATCTTAAGATTTTAGGTTACAGGGAAGATACTACGTAGCTGTAGAAACTAATTTAAGCTTAAGGTAGAGCAGACCCCAAGGAGAGGTCAAAGGCTAAGTCAAACAGTGCGAACCTAGTATCTTCCACAGCCACACTTTTATTTATATGATTTTATTTTCTTTAATTAAAAGGGTGGTGGTCTGCACTGAGGATGATACCTAGGTATAACTGGCTGACACTCAGATCTTGATCATCCAGCCCTGGTTAACGAACATTGATTTTCTGCCCCAGTGGAAGTGATTTTATTCTGATGTATGCCATTTAAATTTCATTTTACACAGCTGCTTAGTATGGCTTGGCAAGGCAGAGGCAAACCAGCTTTCTATGTCTAAATGAGACTTCAGAGCTGGTAAAGGATAGATCCTGTGGATTAACAGCTGAAGATAAATTTCTATCCCTTATTGACACTTGGTTACTGATTCAACAAATTGACCTTGAAGGGGATCACAACCAACTTGTACAGAAATACTGCTGTGTAATCATGACTCTAACACAACCATTTCATATTCTTTGTAGTTCTACAGAGAATCCAACAGATTTTGAACCCCACAGCAGAATCTTAGAAACGCAACACATTCAAAGAAAAAGGCTGGACACTATTCATGCACTGTGGCATGTAAGACTGAATGTCCTTCCAGTCAGATGAAACAGTATGGTGCAAGTGTTCTCCAATTTCAGTAATTTTTGCTTTTTGAACAAGAGAACCAGTAGACGTGCATTCTATTTTTTTTGTTTGCTTCATACTTTTTCATATGCACGTGTGTAAATGAAGTTAATATGGAAAAAATCCAAACAAAAGCACCTAGAGAAAACTGGTAATTAAAACTAGTTAATAACCATGAAGGCAGCAGTAATTTGGGTATTATAGGTTTTCTTTGGAGGTAACAACTGAAATAATGTGATGGCAGGGAAATCCATGAAACCTGAATCTCAGGTGAAGCTGGACTTCATAGTAAGGGAGAAACAGGCTGGGAGCCACTGTAGATACTTTCTCCCAGTGCTTTTACTTATGATATTACAGAAATCACAGTGTGAAGGACTGGTGAGAAAAGAGTAGCTGCATTTCAGGTGAATGTTTTGCACTGGATACTTGGTGCTCCTAAAAATTATTCTAGCAACTAACTGAAAATTTTCAAACATGTGCATGCTCAACTACAGTGTAAAGGAACTTTCTTGAAGATCTCATTAAGAAATCCTGACATCATACCTGCAGTACACCACCTCTCAGAAAGGGAGCATACTTTGGGGGTTGCAGCTCACTGCCCAGGCAGCAACAACAATACCAGCACCAAGTCAAGACAATGGGGTTGTACGGCACCAATGAGGGGAGAAAGACAATGCCTGTGAAAGGGGGAGGAGGGATGATTCCTTCTCAATGATGAAGTTCTTCATTTCCCACTCAGGCAGGAAATAAAGCCAATCCAAAAGCCAAGCAGGTATGGAAGTGAGTGAAGTGCAGATTTTTACCATACTGTAACAGTGGCATTAGTAAAAAGAAGACAAAAACCTTCAATCTCCTCTATGATGCAAGTATTTGTGTATATTTCACACAATTTTTATATTCCTTCAGCAGCCAGGTGGCATGTTCATAAACAAAAAACCCCGACAAGGTCTAGTTTACATTGCTACCTACCCATACTGGTCAGGCTGGTGCATCAAGGGAGCCTGAGCGCTGCCATAGTTGGGGTGCTGTGAAGAAAACATGGGGCATCTGCCAGCTCCAGACTGGCTGGGATAAGCAGGCGACCTAATGTATGGTGGCCTAAAGCAGACCAAAAGAACAGCCGCTGGATTTGTTCTGTATCACAAGTATGAATCACTGGCAAGTACATTCCTTCCCTATGCAAGTATGGAGGACTTGCAGGAATAGCCAAAAGCCATTACGCTTTCTCCCCTACAGCTGACTTGAGATCAAAGAGGAAAACAGTATGCTTGCAGCCCCCCAGCATCAGAGGGGTGTGACAGGTTTCTCTCAATTTGCGGTTTACAAATAGCCCTTCTGCCAGTATTTGCAATAGAGATTTGATGACTGCTCAGCCGTTCCGCAGGTGCTGGAGCACTGGAATGGGCAGTATGCAATGGAAAGGCTCTGAAATGCTGCAGTTTTGCCCAGGCAAAGCTAGAAACCAAAAGCAGTGTTACAAAACTGACTTGGGAGGAAGGTGTGAGATGAAGTGGTAATCATTTAACCTAGTTTTTGATCAAACGCCACACACTATGCCCAAAGTGTAAGTTGAATCAAAACTAAATACATTCCACTTAACACGAAGTCTTTTCTTGCTGTCAAGACCAATAAACATAAGCTTTTCCTTTTATTACGATTATAAAGAAAGTGTTCCTGCAGGTGCAGTGATGGTCCATTGATTCCTTTGTGCCTGTCCTATCAGTTTATAGCCTAAACCAGACAGACAGAAGCAGACTTTTGTAAATCCTACTAGACAGGTCTGTTTAAACAACCAACACAAGCAAGAGAATGCTGGTTCATAGGTATGTGCTGGAGTACCGTCTATTTTAAGGAAGTATGGTTCTATTTTACTGAACAAGAACATGAAGTACACTACATTTACTGTTACTGTTTCAAAAGTTTGTTACTGCTTATCACCTTAAGCCACCTGCTTTACAACCTCACAAAACAAAAATGCAACAGGGACACATTAGCTTCCTATTTCTAGTTTTACATTCTGTCTTGGAATTCGAGCAACTCTACTGTCCCCAAACACTGGTCCTGAATGGTAAATACCTGTATGCATACACATGCATCTGTGAATGCATATGCATCGATAAATGCAAGATGCTTAATATATACACACAAACATGCTCACCAGAACAGTGTAAGCAGCTTTGTGTAATTTTCAAATGTAATCGAACTTCTTGTAACAGATCAAGATAATAAACACATCAGGAGTTATTTAAGCCCAGAGAAATGTGGTAATTACTTCATCTAAAAAATTTCCCAGAAAATATGATTTCATTGCAAGTATTCAGGCATCTTAAGAATAACCATGGACAGAAAAGTGTCTTTGCCAAAATCCATACACAAATGACAACATGCAGTTATGGTGCCCAAAGGAAACAAGATGACAGATGATGGCTCCAACCTCTACAATCCTGTGTACAAGTTCTCTCTTATGGATGCGTAAGTGGCAGTTATCGACTCCAGGTAACTACAGATTGCTTTTAGGCCTCCTTCTGTCTTTCCCCTCCAGCTGCTCCTCTCAGCCTACCCTTCTCTTCCCCTCTGCATGCCATACCATAGAAGAGAACTGCCATTAGCACTGCTGCTCACAGTAAATGCAAGAGTTGATGGGCAGCTTCATCAGCTTCCCTACTCTCTGGCAGGGGCAAGTAGCCAAGGACACATTGGCCCTCTCCCTGTTGGAGACAGAAAATATATATCCAGCTAATAAATTTTAAGTTGCAGAGGGGTTGTCTTCAACTCCTAATTCACTGCAACCCTGTGCCTTTTCCTAAAGCTTACAATGCCAAGAACCAAACTGGAAGCGGTCATCATCTCCACTGTCACAGCTGCTTTTTGAGAGGATAATTTAAACACACGACAGCATGCTTTCCCCTTACACTGAAGGAAAAGCATTCTTCCCACACCTTATCTCCTCCCAGAGATAAGGACACTGATAGAACATGTATAAATGCATATGCTGACACCTCTACAGTGCTGTTACTTCTGAAATGACAAAAAAAGCATTCCTACTCATTTAAACTCCTTTCACCTGGATGCATACCTGCTCTGAGCGGAGTTTGCAGCAGCCTGCATCACTGCAGCAGCCGCCTCCTGTGCCTTACGGTTCACAGTTGGCATGGGTGGGCCCATCCCAGGGCCTCCCTGCTGAGACATGCCAGGAGAATTGGGGGTCATACTGCTCATGTTTCCAGGAAATGGTCTGCTCTGCATCCCAGCTGATGGCATCCGTCCCAGGGGCATGGTACCACAGGGCTGGCTTGGCCCCTGTCCATGCATCTGACTGTTGGCATTTATACCCATGCCGGGTCCTGGGCCGCTGTAACTTGTGTTGGGCACGCCGCTGTATGTTGGTGGTCTCGAGTAGTTTCCTGAACAAAATGATAAAAAGCACAGAGAAAAGCATTAAACTTTTGAGCAAATGTATCTATTGAGGAAGTTAGCAGCTGCAGAACTTACACATGTGAACTAAAGTGAACCCTGTTGGCCTCAAAGTCAGAATAACTTTTTCGCCATGAGCACAAACAGTGGAATGAGCTGCCCAAGGAGTTTATGCAGACTCCCTCCCTGGAGATTTTCAAGACCCGGCTGGATAATGCCAATGCCATGAGTAACCTGCTCTGATCTTCTGTCTGACCCTGATTTGAATACAAAGTCAGCAAAGAACAACTCCTGAGCACCCCTCCAACCTGAATGACCCTATGAACCTGATTTGCATGTACCCTTAAACATTTTCTGCCTAATGTATGTCACGGGATGAGAGGAAATACAGAAAAACACAGCCTCCAGAGGGTTAACAACATAGCACAGAGTACAAAACCGCCTTATGCAGTAAAGATACATGGCATGTAAGAAACCCATTACATAAGCTCAAGAGATCATCTTATTTTTGTAATTTCATGTTCTCACTCTTCATCTTCCTGTAATTTCAGCAACAGGTTATTCTCACCGGCTTCTTGCTCCTAACCACTCTGCCTGTTTGTGTGCTTTGGCGTGGACCAGTGGGGATGGGTGCTGGCCCCCGAGAAATATTTCTGCTCCTTCCTGCCCTGCCCTACCTTCCTGTAAGTTCGAAGTTTGACTTATGCCAGCAGAAGGGGTGGTACCTTACAGCATACCTCCTCTGGGAAAACTAGTATTACCGGAATAATCAGCAATAGTACAAAGATGCTAATATGAACAGGTGCCTTATGAACAACGGCATGAAAATGTGGCTGACCCCAATCTGTGTTGTCACTGGAGCAAACTGCTCCGCTTGCAGCAGCCTAACTCATTTGAGTGCTGACTTCCCTATCATGTTGAAAGCTCAAGAAGAGAGTGTACACTATTCAGTGTTAGAAACAAACCCAAGCAGCATGAGAAAGAGGAAAAAAAAAAGTAAAGATATGATAGAGAAATATTTTAGGAAACGGATCATATTACACTACTTCAGTCATCAGTTTTGACTTGTCTTTATTCCATCTCATCCAGATTAGTAGAAACGCGACCCGTTCCCTCCCTGTGGGATGCCACAGAGCAGTTTCCTGACTACTCTCAGATATTCCCACGGTCGTTCAAAGGCAGCAGCCCTTGGAGTCTTCCTCTGAACATGGAGATCAGCCACATCTCTCCCCAAGCCTCAGCTACCAGGCAGTGTAGTTGGTGGCATGCAACTCCTGTTTGTATTTAAAATAAATATATTCATCCATCATTTGAATGCACACATAATTAATTCATACTGTCCTGCTGCTGTGCTTTGGCTAATCCTCCTCTCCTCCCCACCCAGTAACCAACTCACTCTGCTGCAAGTTCTCCTCAGCAAGAACACATGTGACCTATGCTTCACAAGGAAATGAAGCAGCAGTTTTCTTCTGTTTCAGAAACCAAGTTTCTGCCTAAGGAGCTTCACAAAAATATCCCCAATCTGTGGTTCAACAGAGATGAAAGACTCCAGATTCAGCTTTGTGCTGACTTTAGATTGCCCTGTCGCTTCTCCTCCTCTAGGCTTGGCTGCTGCCAGCTGACTCTTTTCTGTTCAGTGAGCCATCACCCCTAGCCAGAGTTTTGGTTGCTGAGACTACACATCTGGTTCAATGTATGTGACCACAAACTGAAGGGTTGACTAGTTTCACGCTGCTCTGCTTAGAGTTAAAGGTGTAACACACAACTTGGGTGTTGCCCTGGTTTTCCAGTTGCTTTGTGCAAGAAAAACGTAATGCAGCAAGATAGTGCGTATGTGCACTCAAAGATTACACACAGCCAGTTAACACATTTTATGTACGTGCTATTAGCAACACTGCTTCCCAAAGTGAAATAAATTCCCTCCCTAGACTAGCAGACTTGATATCCATAATCACTGGGAGCTACTGTCAGTCCAATTTACATAAAGCCAATTTGTTTTGTCATTTAGGGTCTACAAAGTACGATTCAGCAGCATGCTTGGAGGAGCAAACACCAATGCTAAATACTATTGCTGTTTTGATGCTATTCTGAATTGGGACAAAGAATCTCTTCTTTCATGCTTTGGCTTCTCCAGCGTCAGCACAACACTGAAAAAACAGTGGAATCTTCTCCATAAAAATATGTGGCTTGGTTAAAATAGCTCCTAATGATTCATCTCCAGGGATACACATCCAAGAGCACAGGGAAGTGGTATCTTTTCAGTAAGGAAAACAAGTTTCAATGTTTTTTCCATGTTTCTTTTTCCCCTCAGCATTTCCTCAATACTTCAAGTACTAGCTATTCTTATACCTTTCCCAGACCACAAAAAAAAAAAAAAGGACAAAATAAAAGCCAAGCAAAATACAAGAGGAATTGCCAGGAATGAGGAGTGCAATCTTATTTCCATGTTTCTCTAATAGATTAGTAATTTGTTGGCAGTGGCTTTGACAGAAAGCAGATGGATGCAGCATTAAACACAATGAATGCAGCAGATGCTAGGCCAGCCCACATCAGCTGGACGTGTCAGGCAGCCAAGTCCAAAAGCCCACACTTTTCAAGTGGGTACAAGCCTGGCAACAGCGGCTGTACAATACTACTGAACAACTCCTCCCCTCCATATCCGAGGGATTTTTGATTCCAGCTCCCCCTTGGCAGAGCAGAACTGTACCCAGAGAGATGACACCTCAAATGCATGAGAAAAAACAAAGCAGTAACTGGAACTGGGGGAAAAAAAAAAAAAAGTGTAATGAAGATAAAATATAAAAAAGCCTAGTAACAACCTGCCAAAGACAGATGTTCATATTTCCTGATGAAACTCTGGTCCACTTTGTCCAGGTTTGCTGAACAAAGTACACTGATATCTTGCCACTTCTAGGCAAGTTGAAAAGAAGGAAATTTGAGAACTACCTGTTAGTTTTGCTCTCTACAGGAATGGGTCAGATTCACAATATTAAAAATAGCATCTTAATGTCATTTTAGAATTTTTTACACGTGCACTTAACCATCAAGTTTTTCTCGTATAGAACATTTAAATGCATTGTTCTGAATTCCACCAAAATTATTTTACCTAGAAGACTTCAGTAGATACAATGGATATTTAAGTCTTAACTCCATATATGTGGGTTGAGATATTTAGGGCATCTCATGCTTAAGATGCTACCACTTCAATTAAAACCTACAATTAAAATCAGTGGGACCTAGGTAGCAAAGTGCTTTTGTGAAATGAGTCCAACATTAAAAGTTACAAAGCACAAATCATATTACTTCACCACAAACAAAAGGGGGTTAACTTACTGTGAAGTTCTGGGGTTGTGGTTTCTCTCTTTGTTATACCCAAACAGAACAGTTTTTCTGCTGAAAAAAAAGTAGGAAAAGTTAGGGAGACAGGATGCATTTCTGACATGTTTTACTAATCCACAGGAAGTTTTTCTCTTCCCCAGTCTTAAAACACCAAACTGACTACAGCATCTGACTGCTCTCCAGAGTGCATTTAAAGGACATTTTGCTGTGGCAGCAGTTTGATGCCTGGGTCACAGACCAGAGCTTCATTAGCCCCTAAGCTAGATGTTGTCCAAATACAAACCAAAGAGATTGCTTCTTTCAGTAACAACTTCCATTTTCTCTCTGCCTTTTTTTTTTTTATTTTTTTTTATTTGGGGACAGGCAAATACCGGGGTTTAATACAAAATTAAAACTAATGTTCTGTAACTGCATGCTGTATCACAGACACACAGAAGTGTGGAGCCAAAGCCATTTTTTATTTTTGTAGGGAATGGTTTCACAGGATTGGACTAGGTCCCCAGTACAGAATTGCTTCCTGGGAAAATATATTCTACTCTTATTATAGATCTAAGTGTCATGTAAACACATGAAAAACAAATAAATCAACCATATGCATGAAATGGATCATTCTGCTCTCATGAACTGGGGACTAACTCCTCCAATCCAAACTTAGTGGTGTAGTCTTTATTATGGTGTGCAATTCCACTGTAGAGAAAGGACACTAGCCTTGAGCAACGGTTTTCATGACGGAACATAGTGGAATCTAGCATTCAAACTAAAAGCTCAGTGTCACAGAATGCTCTGACATGTATATAAAAATACAAGTAGTCCTGTCAAACTCAGCCTGTGCTTAACAATATTCTGGCAGAAGGTCACTGTGAACAAAACACAGAAAGCAAATAAAATCCTTGAGAATTATTTTAATTTAATAATTTAAGAACTTGGTTGCAACCCAGATAATTTTTAATGTATTTGTTATTCTGGTAATAAAAGGTAAATGGGGTAACGTTATTATATATTCATCATTGCTGGCATATAATTGTGCTTTGTAAGAGGGTATGTTAAGAGTTGCAATTACAGATTGCTTTCATTAAAAATGAAGAAAGCTATTTAAAAACTGAAATCCAGGTAAATACATGACTTTGAAATATCATCATCTTCATCCCCAGATTTTATTAATGGTCACATTAGCCTGGTGAAAATGTAGCATCCTTCTTCTCTAATTGCTACCTGTAGAGCTGAAAGTCTGCAAGGCCCTAATTTTATGATGACCAGTGCACAGGATCACCAGTATTCTCCAAGAGCTGGCAGAAGAACACGCTTTTCATCCATCGCACTGCTCACCAAACCCTTCTGAAACAGCCTGTTAATGACAATGATGCTCATTTTCTTCCTGCCCCTCAAGTTCACTTTTTAATAGATGTTTCTTCCTGACCACGACCCATAAAATCATTACATAGGCACTTTCATCTACAGAGGGAGGAAAAGAACTGCTGAACTCAAGCAAAAAAGAAAGTAGTATTCGGCATGTTACTTAAATGCATTGATTTAGTACAAAACCCTTTCCATTCAATCAGTGTGGACGGCTAATGTTTTACTGCACTTGACACCCACTATTCCCATGGTTCGGAATCTCAGCAGCAGCGGTACAGCTGGAAGACAGGATATCACATCATAAATCCACTGGATTTTTACCAGTTAAGCTAGCCGCTCACTGTGCAGATAAAAATAAGCACTTGGACAGCATTTTATGGCCTCAAAATGCCTTCCAAATAAAAGGAAAGCACCAGTCAACTGGAGTTAGGTAATTAATCTTCACACATGGCTCTAAGGCGTTACTAGCCCCATTTTACAGTCAAGGAAAGCGAAGCAGAGAAATGAATCTACTTGCCCATGTTGAAAGATGATGTAAAAGGCAGAGCCAAAATTAGAAACCGGGAAATCTTGGCTTGTAGCCCTGTGCTCAGAACACTACAACAAACGCTACCCAGAGATGAAACAGAAAGGAACATTGTGCAGGGCAGTAGAGCTCCCTGCAAACAAACATCAGAACTCGTTCTCAGAAAACTCTGGAGACTAAAGTAACCATCCTTGCTAGCATGGGCAAGCCATAAAGCCCTTACAGAATTTCCAACTTCTGGGTCCAGTCCTTTTTGAGGATTTTAAGTAAGAAAGCAACAGTAGTTAGCACTGAACTACTATTTTTTTACTGGCAAAGAAAAGCTTCTTCATGTACCTCTGAAGAAAATACTGCCCCTTATATATCCTTTGGCTTGACTTCAACTTCACTAAACCTATAAACAGATGCATATTTTATAAAGGTTATCCATTAAAGGCAAAACAGTAGACAAGTTCAAGGTTGTCCAGGGGCAGAAACTGTGTATTCTATTTTTGATTTAATCCTCCAACAATTCTGTCTAACAAGCAAAATAAAAGGAACTATCTCAGTCTGTAGGGTTAGTTAAGATTCACAAACTGTATGCATTAGAGCTCAATATCATATTTCCACAGTAGCCATTGTATTATTACGCTTACTAGAAGACTTCAACCCTCACAGTCAGCACACGATTTTGTATTGGCCTTCACTGGATTTAATCTAAGAAAAGAAGTTCTATTTTGGGATCAGTGGCGTGACCCTTATCCCATGCTTGGTCAAATGCAGCCTCATTGCAGAGATGACATGCTTAGCCTCTTAAACAAATGGCCCTTGCAATACAACAGATTCATCATTTCCTCGCCCAATTTAAGGTCACTATTTTTATACAGAGAAAGGGGCTAATAACAGAAGCATCTTCTTCCACACGGTGCAGCTCCACTGCCGGATGACAGTTTTGTTTTAGGGTTTTTTTTTTAGGGACAGTGTTGTGGGTTTTTTTGTTTGTTTTGTTTTTAAGAAATCACATACCTACCTACAAATACAATACATATATATACTTTTATATATATGTATATATAAACTACCATGTGTATTACCAGCAAGCCTTTTACCTTGTGGTCCATACTGGCTCATCTGAGGCCCGTAAGTACCACTTGAATTACTCTGCTGAAAGCTACTGATTCCAGGATGCACTTGGCCTCCAGGTGATGGGTGTGGTGACATGGAAGGTCCAGTTTGCTGAGGTCCATACTGTGACATTTGGGGGTTCCTCTGAATGCCTGCCATAAAACCTAAAGGGAAAAAAGCGCCAAAGCAAAAATTAATATTCAGGTAACTGTTCTTTATTTAAGAAGTCTTTGACATTAAAAAACACTAACCCTCTTTAGGTATTTTCAGACTAAAAATGTCCAGAAAGCTGCTACTGCTCATATGAAACAGAAACAAATGCACCTCCAAGTCAGCAAAGCCATCTCAACAACCCAACCTGTACACAAGGTTCAGAAACTTTTACTTGTAACTTTTGCTTAGTTACAAATTGCTGCTAATTTTAAAATGAAGCACATCTTTAGGGGAAAAAAAAAAAAAAGGCAATTATTTGCATTACCTAGTAAGTAGTAGGGGATCTGCCTGATGACTTATGGTGGGAGTATCCTCCCTTCCAAAATTACATGTTGCTATCAAAATGCATTAATTCCAGCATATAGAAATCCATTGTAAATACTCCTATCGCTCACAAACTCTCCAGAGCTAAAACTTCCCTTTATGTGAAGACTAGTCATACCAGCCAGAAAAAAATAGTAGTTTTGGTATGTAGTTGTGTAGGTCCTTCTTCTGTTCTATTGCCAGCACACCTGTATTGCATTCTCTTTTTTTCTCCTTTTGCAAATGTATTGATGAATCCCAATTTAATTTAAGGTTCAAAAGCTGCAGCAAGAGACCTAGTCAAATGCTATACAATCCAGAAGCTTCATAAAAAGGAACAGAACTAAGCCTATTAAATGAGAGGAGTGTTTTGTGTCAGGGTTTTTTAAGTTTTCTCAAACTGGGAAAAATCCTTCAATGCTGCCCATGAAATTAATGTCTGTGCAGGGATGCTGGTTTTCTCACGCTTTACCCTGAACGGTTTTAGTGCTGCTTTCAGTGTTGAAGAGGATGTGTTGAGGGGACAGCAAGGATATTTTTCCTTATCTGTGGAGGAAACACGCTTTCTCTTCTGTTCTGCTTGCACGTTACATTTCATTTTCGCATTTCTCTGTGAGGCACTGAAGGCCACTGTTGGCTGTGCTGCCAGCAGCTGACCCATGCCCGGTGAGGCAGGAGACACGGTTTGCTGCTGCCAAGTGGGTGAACATGCATGAGCAAGTCTGCACTTTGGCCCATCCTGCAACTAGATCAGGCACCTGCGCTCGGAGGCCACAGAGAGCTGAAGCATTATTTATGAAAGGTGTCTGTTTCCACTCCCTTCCATTAATTTTAGTGGTGTGAGGAGGTGTGAAGTTGAAAAGCAAAAGACACCTGGCCTGGCATCCTTAGTTACACCTTTCTTTACATGAGGGAGGGAACAGAGGAAAGGTAAGAGCAAAACCCCCTGACAATGAGTGGAGAACTGGAAGCTGCTGAAGGGAAGGAAAGAAGGAGAAAACGAAGAGAGAGGCAAAGACAAGTTGTGAAGACAGACAGAAATGGGTGACAGGAGGAGGAGAGGTGGCTGAAGAATGACTCTCCTGAAGGGCCAGGTTACCCTCCCATAGGTTAGTATCACACATCACACAGACCCAGTTAATGAAGAGTGGTAATTTTTTCTGAGCCACACAGAGATATGTGATCAAACTCACAACTGAAAATACGCAGGTGCTAAAGCTCCCACAGCCAGGCAGCTGCCCTCAGGGGTTTCAATGTGGGGACCAGAGCCCCAGCCAGCACGTACTGAACTCAAAAGAGTAAGCTTCTCATCCTAGCACTGCTGTCACTGACACAGTAGGTGACACTGGGTGAACAACCTCCTAAACTTCCTGTGGGTCAGCCTTCCTGTTTGCTCACTGGTGACAAAGGGGACAGATTCCGTGATGTAGAAATTAAAGGTGGTGTGTACTTTACCAGAGATCAGGCTTTAAGTCCAAACACCTGTAAGCAGTTTTTGAGCCCTCCACAAACCCTTGCTATATGGCATACTTACCCATCCGCTAAATCCCTGTCAGAGAGACAAGCAGCTCAATGCCACAGGTCATAAGGATAAAAAACAGGAGCTGAGATGATCCTGCACCCCCTTGTGCCCAGTCCTTTTGTGCGAGGAACAGCTCAACTCGTAACATGCTAAAACTACCAACTGCAGCGTTTGACAGAGTATGTTTTCCTGATCTTTGTGCAAGCCCCTAGACAAGGGATTTGATCACACCTGAACTGTAAACTCAGAGCCTGGCATGGCAAAGAACAGAGGGTGAAGTGGTGGCTTGGAAACTGCCATTTGGTCTGATTGGAAAACTCCACGCTTGTGCAAAGGAAGCTCATACGACCTTCTCCACTTAGTTTTATTTTGAAACAGACCCCTTGATTTCTAAAATAGCTCCACTATGCACACAAACCTTATTACAAAGCCGGTATCTTTTGCTGACAGTGCTGAAACTGATTCAGAAACCTAATACAATCGTGTATCTGTATGAGATAAACGTTCGCATTCCCGGCACACGTACACCGTATGTATGGCACTCACGGGATCCATTTAGAAGAAAAATTCTGTACTGGTCACATCAAGTTTTTTGTTATAAAGATAGTAGTATCTAGTACAGAAGTGAGGGTTTTCTGTTCACCGTGGGCCTCATCACCTGTACAAGAAAACTTTCCAAACATTGTGCTAGTGCTAAAGGTTTTTCAGCCCAGTTATTATCACAGGCAGTACTTTTCTTAACACCACAAGGATGGATGACACATTGAAAGCTATCATTTGTATAGCCTGTAGTGATTTCCAGTAGTGATGAAGAGAGACTGCTGGTTGTTGAATCTAATGGAGAACATGGACTAATGCCTAATGAAGAACAAGAACACCACCAGTTTTAGCCAGGGGAGTAGAGTAATAAGTGAAATAAATGTTTCCACCCAAATGATCTCTTCTTCAGGAAACTTCTCCTAATCCTTTTCTAATGCTGTGGAATGGACTGTGTGGCTATGTGTACAGTCATAAATAAAACATGCCAGGACCATTCCTGGGCTTGGAGAACCATGTGGCACATTCATGTCCATCCAGCTAAACCTTCCCACTCAATCCTGGTAGTCCTATCTGTATGACTTCCGAACGCAGCCCCTTGTGCTGCCTTATCCATGTGAGTTGTGGCTCAGGGAGTGCTCAAAAGCACCAGCCAAACCCATGTTGTGGGGATGCCAGTAATTCGTCAGCAGAGTTAACTTGTGGTGCTACTCAAACTCACACTCTGGCCTTAGTTTGCAGGGATGTTGATTAACAGAGCAAGAACAGAACAGACTCCTTAACAGCATTTGACGTGAGGTGTAAGTTTCTTCATCCCAGAGGGTGTGAGATCCTTCTCAATTGAGATTGGCTTTGCCATCTTCTCTTGAGCATGGAAAGGTAAAGAATTAAGGAAAAGGAAGCCTGAAACTCAGGGAGAATATTTGTGCCATATTATCATCTATCACTGTACAGTATGTTGAAGCATGACCTTAAAGTAGGGCATGCTCCAACTCCCTTTCAGAGAGCAGGGGAGTCATTTCAGCTATAGATGCTATGTGGAGGAGAAGGTAAGATCAAGACCCTGCTGTGATCTTGACTGCATTACAACGAAGAGGAGTCTATACTCTTCCTAGCTCTGAGAGAGCATAGTGCATGTTCAGAGATCAGTGCATGAGTTTGAAGTGTTTCAAGCATTTGCAGAATGCTCAGATGTCTTAGAAATGGGGTTCCTGGTCAAGGCTTTAACATTCCTGCATCATAAAGAGAAAACAACATCAATTCCAGAAATCTTATAAGAAATGAAATGGAGCAGCTGGCATACATTCATTTTTCCTTATTTACACACATTTTCCCTAGTGTTTAACTTCATTTTATAACTGATACAAAAAGAAATAAATTTTCTTTCCAGAAAATTAGATCTAGGATAAAGTTTGCTTTTGTAAAGACGGGAAGTAGGATTACATTAGGGCTGCCCTGGAGTAAAGACAGTGGAGTGATTTAACAGCCAGAGTGCATCTGACACATCAACACCTCTGTGACAACAAGGTGCTGGTTTTGTCTCTTAAATAAACTGCTAACAGCAAGCTACAAGCTAAGACATTAAAAATTGCAACAGTAACATGCTCATCAGTGAACAAATCTACTCCTTTCCTTTAGCATTAGTGATAAAAGAGGTACAGATGATGCTTTACTTTCCACCACAACAAGGGATTACTTACCGAAAAAACAGTTAAGTGGATTTTGGCAAACTAAGCTATTTCAGGAGCAACTGAATACAGTGAGTCTGTCGGAAATGCTCTCTTCCTTTTTAGTTATTTTCTTATACTACATTTACGTTCCTAAAGAATGGTTGTTTTTATTACAACCCAATTTAACACTGTAGCACCATCTTTGAATTTTTTTAGTTCTAAATGAAACAGTAGCATATTATTAACAATTCGCAGATTGTAACTATAATAAAAACCCATACAAGGTTTAAAACTGGCCAGGTAGCAGCATATTTTTCTTCTTCTTTTTCAGCAAAATATAGAGAAAAATATAAAATGGGCAATGCTTATGATAGAAGTGTTTCTGCTCCTTTGATAAAGGAAAAGACAAAAACGAAGCTTCTGTTGTCCTGCACAGTACTAACATCTGGTAACGTACATCATATAGGTAATACCATTTATGATGCCTTTGTAAAAACATTTAAAATCCTGTTTTTCCCCTTATGCATATGCATACACAAAACAGACTAACACCAGTAAATTACTAAAGCTTCACAAAATCATGCACTAAGGTTGTCTTAATTATATTTGCACACTGACCAATACAAAATCATTTGTTTCTTGCATGCTGTATCTCCTTAGCACTAACCACGAAAGACACGCACTGAATGTGCTGGGTGTTGCTGTAAAATCTCAGATGGATTCTTTTGATATTCTAAAGTCTTGGCTTGAATGTGGAAAAAAAATCCCAAACCACCTTTCCAGGAAAGCAAGAGCTCAAACACAAAGGAAATGACTGCAAAGTAACAAGTTACTGCCTATCAGCTGATGGACAGCAATCGCCTGCTGGCACACACTTAACCCATGGTCAGTGAGAGGTCTTTTGATTTAGCCAGGAATG